CCGGACATGTCCGGGAAAAAGAGGACGTATGGTAACCCTAGGGGTGAGTGAGAGACAGTGTGTTGAGGGAGAGTGTGTGTGTCAGCATGCTGTCTCTTTGGTTGCTTCCAGTGGCTGTCTGAACTTAATCTGAGGCAGAAGCTGGTGCACAGACAGCTGGTGTCCTCCGGCACCCCATCTCAGCAGAGACCGGTACATGGGTGGGTGGAGGGGGACACCCCAACATCAGCCTCTGCCTCACTCCCTGGCTCTGCACAGCAGGAGTCTCTTCCCACTCCTCCCAGTAGCAGCCTGCCCTGCCTGCCTGCCGCTGTGGTCCTAGGGCCAGAGGGAGCAGGATTCTGTGTTAGTTTGATTCCCTCTGAGTTCTCCTGGGTCTGTGGGGAGAGGAGGCTGTGGGAGTTCTATCTCCTCCCCTGTAGTCCAGGCAGGAGTGTGTTTGCTGCTGGCATGCTCAGCTGGGCAGCAGCTATGTAAGCTCTCCATGTGGAGCGGTTTCAAAACTTCCTGGGGCTTTGAAAGGGGAGGAGCACATGCCTGTGTAGATGGATTCAAGGCAGTGGAGTTCAAAACAGTGAGCAGAGCAGTCACAATGGGCATTGTGGGATACCTCCTGGAGGCCAGTTACGGTGACATAAAGAACGCAGCATCTACACCACAGATTCTCAGACTGGGGGTCGGGACCCCTCAGGAGCTCGCGAGGTGATTACATGTGGGGTTGCGAGCTGTCAACCTCCACCCCAAACCCCGCTTTGCCTCCAGCATTTATAATGGTGTTAAATATATTTAAAAGTGTTTTTAATTTATAAGGGGGGGGGTTGCACTCAGAGGCTTGCTATGTGAAAGGGGTCACCAGTACAAAAGTTTGAGAGCCACTGGTCTACACTGACGCTTTGTTGATCTAATTTTGCTGCAAAAAGCTCTATGCCTCTTGTCGAGGTTGTTTTATTTTGGTGGCAAAACAGGAGCACTTTAGTTCACACCTCCACTGTTTTGTTGACAAAAGCTGCCTTTTGCGGACAAAATTGTCTAGTGTAGACACAGCCTTAATTGAGTGTAGGGTCTTGGTTTGGTCTCAGCCAGCAAATCTTGATAGCACAATAACATTGTCAGCATCTCGGACACTAGCTCAAAATAAGAATTAAGACTGGTCATATTAAAGAATATCTGGTTTATAACATTTGGTTTAAAATGAGTATGGCAAACTTTAAGGTTAATTAACCCAATTACCTGTGCTACACTTAACTGAATTCTAGGAGGATATATGGAGGATATAAAAAGTTTGGAGGATTAAAAAAGATTGGCCTAGAAATACTTTTGAGAACCCTTTAAATCATTAAAGGAAATGGCTCAACTATTCCCCCCCCCCCCCACAAAAAAAAAAAGGTTAGATTGAATCATGGCTGAACCATCGCACGCTGCTATTGCATGTTTGGATTTAATGAAGAGTGACAGCAAATAACTTAACTCAGTTCAATTTTTATTTAAGACAATTGATCGGTACTGAATACGCACTATGCAGACTACAGACAAAAAACATACGTTACCAATGTGAGAGTGGAGAAGTTTGTAGCTCACTTTGCTTCTAACTAACATCCCCAAATTCATTCCTTATATATTGGTTTAGGACAAAGAAAATTCCTTTAAGGAGGGAAAAGCTACTTTCCCATAATGTATCCTAGTGTTTTTTCTCTCTTCAGTATCTCAATTTACCTCAGTACTTGATGGATTTTTTTTTATGGTATCTTAGTTTATATGATTAATAAGCGAAAGGAATTTCTAATCCAGTTTTTATTATTAACAGCTGTGGTAACAGGCTATTTCTAATGAGTTAAAAACATCTTTCAATGGATCATGTTTTCATAAATCACAGAAAACATCTGCAATAACAAATACATCTTATCAATCACAGAACTTAATTGTATTATAAGTAAGGCCCTACTTAATTTGCGATATTGTGGCTCCCACAATATTAGGCTTCCACCGCAATTTTGGTTTTAATTAGCTTACTTTGCACAGTCTACAATTTTGCATTCACTTGAGGTTTGCAAATCCCCCTTCCCTCCCCCAGTATAGTAGAATCCATTTATCCAAGCTGATAGCGGCTGGGGCTCAGGCTGTCAGTTGCAGCAAAATGTTGGGTTATCCAAAAACAAACACACACACACACACCCCCCCTCCCATGGGCACATGCCTTTCCTTCATTTTGTCAATGAGGTTCAAGTTAACTACAGAGAACTTTTCAGTTGAATAGGTACAGAGACTAAATTATACAAATGCACAACATAAAAAGGATTGTAGTTAACATATAAAAGCACTATAGTGGATATTAAAACCCCTAATGCTGCTAAGCCTCACAAGTTTATCCAAGGTTTTACGATATTTGGTGTTTGCTCATAAAACCCCAGTTTTTGGAATCATGGGATTACATAAAAATCTCAGCTTTCATTTAAACAGTCTATAGTCCTCATGGTTGCAGAAAAAAGCATGAAAAAAATGACCCTTAAAGGTTTAAGAAGTAGAAGGCAAATAAACTTAAAATGTATTATCTACAAATCTCAGTATTATGTGGGGCCAGGCTGGACCATGATTTTTGAATGATTGGATTGGCAATACGGTGTAGGCATGAAAAATGTGATTGGCATTTAACAAAGGCCTGTATTACAGGATCTGTGGCTTCCATACTGACTGCAAAATCATCTTTCCAGATAAAGATTCTATAAGGTTACTACTTGTGAAGACTTTTGATTTATTGTGTATCATTTGCATTGGACTGCCATAAAAATTTTGAAAATTGTATGTGGTTTTAATAACAAAGCTATTGCCTACCAAAAAAAATTTAGAATGACTTATAGCAATTCCTCCAGCCAATGAGCAAAAACTGACCAATCAAAAGCAATGTCCATTGAATTTGAAATACTGGGATTATGCTGCATTGCTCTTGCAGTACCGGTAGTGATAAACACAAAGGATTTCAGTTTTAATTATCACCAAAATAATGCCACAAGCAGCACAAGTCTCACTGCCCCCAATTTCATGCTAGAACATCTCCATTTGGGAAGACCCCTTCGATGCATCTTTCCTTGGTATCGTGCCATGGTGTTGGCAGATGCATTGTGTATTTCTTATTAAACTAGCCTGCTGTCTTCATTTTACACCCCTGGTTCTCCCTAGTTGTTACCAATGAAAAATCACATGGCAAGACATTTTGCGTGGCAAGTTCTGTGTGACTTGGTTTTGGCCCCTTTTGCTTAAATCACTGTTTTCCTTTTTCTTCTCTTTCAGGCAAGTCAGAGTGAATCCCCTATTGTGCATCCAGGACACAAGGTGGAGAGTGACTTATAATGGCTGGGAAACGACACTTAGAGGACCTGGACCCTGTGGCCTACAACAAGTTACCTCGGCTGGAGACAGAGCCAAATTGTGTCCTCCCCACAGGCTTGTGTAAATCGAGCCCCTTGCCTAGTCATGGTTCTGAAAACCATTTCAGCTACAAGGGAACCTACTTTGCTTACCCGCTGCAAAGCCCTGATGGGCTCGAGTCTCTGACCCACTGGAGTCCAGCCGCATCTTACATGCAATATCCAGGTAATGCTGTCAGCCAGCACATGAGGACAGATGGTGCGCTGATGAACTGCCTGCTGTACGGACGAGAAGCTGAGAGCCTGGCGGTAAGACTACGGAGCTCCGGTGCTGACAAAGGGAAGGACAGCATGGTCCGAGACCACCTGGTTGTTCAGGAGAAGTGGGCAAATCATATGCAGCAGGCTCAGGGCCATGCTTTCCCAGTGCAAAAACCTGGGCTCCTAAACAAAACAGTTGCTCAGGCACCTACAGGCTATGCCACCTTGGCAGTGCCCAAGCCAGTTTATAGAAACCCTGTTTGCTATGTGGACCCCAGGGCTTCTATGTCCTTACAAACTCAGATGGAGAGCATGCAGAAGAGGCCGTTGGAAGTGGAATGGACTGTACCAACCCCAGTATCCTCAGGGCACCATATCCACGCAAAAGACCAGTCTTGTGGGACTGCTTTACCCAAGAGAGTCCATCACTCTGATCCCAGCTTCCTGCAGTTACACCAAGGCACAGGGGTTCCCACTAAAGAGATGGTAGCAGCCTCTGTAGGCTTTCCACCTTACCATGCAGCATTTGAGAAATACAGAGTACATCAAAGCACCTCCTTTCTTGAAGCAAACTACCCTGCTGTGTACAACAACCAGAAAAGGGTCAAAGATGTACATGGCAGCAGCTTATCCCAACATACATGGTCCAAGCTACAGCCTTCCGCTGCCAGCCCACTGGCTCATTCCCAAACAGCAGCCTATCGGGATAGATCTCCAGCCTGCTACTCGGTGTCTCACTACCCACTGACCTCACACAAGCAAACCTTTCTTTATCAGGAGGCCCCTCATGCTGAGGAACAGAATGGCACTCTGTCGACCTTGCCAACTGCAGGTGGCTACAAAGGAACCAACTTGCCAGGAAGTGGGGAATCTCGGCCCTTTTCTAGCACTTACCTGAGGCATCATTCCCCGAGAAGCTATTACGCCAGCCCTCTGGAGAGCTATGTGTATAGACCAACTGGTCCAATTCCAGTGGCCTCTCCAGCTTTGAAGCCTGGAGTTTCCTCTAGAGAACCTGAGCTCCAGCAGAATTCCAGCTGCAAAGTGGACTATCTGCAGCAGAACCCCAGTTTTGTTTTTGCACCTTCTGACATGGCTTTGTACAATGCCTCCTTAGCCAATACGGATGCTGGTCATGATCGGCACATTGATAGCAGAGTAGCTACTTCTCATGGGACTCAATCGGTGAGGGAGAACCCCAGAAGCAAAGAGGTGGCTAGCCAGCACAGTGCTTTCCAACTGATTGGTGCTCTAGATAGGCTATCCAACAGCTCCGAAAGGCTCACTGAAGCACTACCTAGAGGAGAGCCAGGCTATGGCTTGGGCCTGTGTCAGACAGAACAACCCAGCCTGCATGGAAAGGAACAAGCCCACTCGGAGAGAAGATCCAGCTTATCCATGAAAGAGCCTATGCACAGAAACACAGGGATTCATGAAGCTCAGTTAGGAGCTCCCATTGTCATTACTGATAGTCCAGTTCCGTACTACCACAAAAAAGGAGAAGCCCCCAAGGTCAAAGGCAGGCTTGTTTCCTCACCCCAGGTCATTTCTTCTGAGGAGGGACTGAAAAGCCTGAGAGATGCAGATTCTACTCCCTCCTCCCCGCCTATGCCAGTTATCAACAATGTCTTTAGCCTGGCACCTTACCGGGACTACATAGAAGGGTCCAAAGGGTCGGCAGGGATCCCCTTCTCAAAAGATCATCAAGAGGAAGAGTCCCCCTTCCGAAACAGCCTGTCAAGTGGAGACTGTAAGGCTGTCTCAGAACCACCTTCTGCCAAGGATTCATCAGAAAAGCCTATTGGGAAAGAAGCAACCCAGGCCCTAAAAGCAGAGATGGAGATGGATGAAAACCTCAGTGTGATACAGCAGGATGGAAGCTGTAACAGCAGGATTTGTGAGATCTACAAGCCAAAGATTCTGCCACGCAGACTGCCAGCAAGAAGTGAGCCACAGAACGGCAGCATCAGTGCTCCAGCTGCCACTGGGAACCGGGAACTTGCTCAAAATGATGTAGTGCTAGACCTCAGCTTGAAAAAAGAGCTAGTGAAGGCCAATGATCCTCTGAGCCCAGCTGGACAGATCGAGGTGACTCCTAAAGGAGGATGTTGTGAGGAGGCGGCGAAAGAGGGACCACTCAAAAAGCAGAGGGTGTTCAAGAGTTCCAAGACCCAGGCCTTGCCTTTGTCAGTGGAAAATAGCTCTGGGGACAAGAGCAACTTCCAGAGCTCGACAGCCTTCATGTTCAAAAAATTCAAAATCTCGAAATCTATCCCGACACGAGCAGTGCCCCCAGTACAGGCCAACAGCCCCACAGCACCCACGCAGGGCCCCCCGGCAGCCTCCCAGGCCAATAGTCCCCTGGCACCCAAGCAGGGTCCCCCAGCAGCCCCTCAGGCCAACAGCCCCCTGACAGTGATGCAGGGTCCCCTGGCAGCCACCCAAGGCAACAGATCCCCAGCACCCACCCAGGGCCCCCCAGCAGTGTCGCAGAGCCCCCCAGCAGTGTCGCAGGGCCCTCCAGGACCCGTCCAGGCCAACAGTCCCCCGGCAGTGATGCAGGGCCCTTCAGCACCCGTCCAGGCCAACAGCCCCCCGGCAGCGACGCAGGGCCCCCCAGCAGCCACCCAGGCCAACATCCAACCCTTGCAGATGACGTGCCTTTATCTGAAACTTCCTGACATTTCAAAGTCTCTGTCCCCCAGTGCCCCAGAGGCCTCCCCAGCACTGGGCGAGGCCAACGTCTCGCTGCCCAGCAACTGTGAATCCCCTGCCCAGCAGACTTCATCCAGCCAGTATTTCACTGCATTGCACATATCTCTCTGCAACAGGATTTCATATTTTGTGTCCGGAACATCTCCGGAGCTCCTTAAGCAGTGGCTGAGGAGGGTGGAGCTGGACGGAGAGCAGAAAGAGAGCTCGAAATCTCCCCTCAAACCCAAGAATGGTTCCCGGATCCTGGAAGCTCAGAAAGCCTCCAAAGGCAAGGAGATCTGGCTGGGTTTCCAGGATATCAGCATGCTCCTCAGCAAGCTGTTGTCTCAGTTGGAGACCTTCATGTTCACTCGCAAGTGCCCCTTCCCACATGTGGTTCGAGCAGGTGCCATCTTCATCCCCATTCATGTGGTGAAGGAGAAACTGTTCCCCAAGCTTTCTGGAGCATCTGTGGACCACGTGCTGCAGGAGCACAAGGTGGAGCTGCGCCCCACCACCCTGTCTGAGGAGAAGCTTTTGAGGGACTTAGAGCTTAAGTGCTGCACTTCCAGGATGCTGAAGCTGCTCGCCCTGAAACAGCTGCCTGACATCTACCCAGACCTTCTGAATCTCCACTGGCATGACTGTGTCAAGCACTATCTTGGTAAGTGGTGCTAAATCTCCAGTAAGCCCTTTCCCACCCCTTAGATTGTTCTGCCAATGGGACATTTTCCATATGTTAGTAGCTCTCCAAGAGAGGGGTCAGCTGTACATGTCCAGTAATGGGCATTTTATTGTGTAGCTGAAAGTCTAATGTGCTCAAAAGAACATTGATCCTGTCTCTCTCCTACATTCCCTTTCCCATCACTGCTAACTAGCTGATCAAGGTCAATTGACGTACCCTCCTTTCCAAGCAGCCTGCCTCCCCCTCCATCTGACTCATCCAGTGGTGTTGGATCACTGGCCGGTGTTTGATCATTTCCGGAGGAATGCATTATGTTACAGTCTGACAGTTCCTGAATTGCAAAAGCTCCCACTTGGCCAACACATCCGGTGCGGGTGGATTAGAATGGAGAACAGTTTCTGTTGATGCCGGGATAAGTTGGAACTGTGGGAGAAGAAATAAGGAAATGCAGCTTTCTGGGAGAGATACAAGGCTCTTTATAGAAGCTGGCCTAAATGTTGTTGTGGCTCTGTAACGCCCAGGCTTTCCAAAATGACAAGTGACTTCGTGTGCCACCATTTTGTGGTACCTACCTTGGCACGCCATAAAGGGGAATTGACCTTTAGAGGGCACTTTCTGAAAATCGGGTCTCAGGGTGGGTACTCAAAAAGAAAAAGGCACCCAGAATCATTAGTCACTCTCGAAAGCCTTCACCTCGGTCTGCAGTGGACGACTTGCAGCTGTGATTAAGTGTTCCTTGTGTGGGCTTGCAAAGTACCTAGCTGTATATGTTACTGTAAAGATCCAGCTACTCTCTGGGTCCGGGAGGCCTCCCAGAGGCTAATGCAAGGGTGCATTGCATAACCTCTTGGCACCAGACTCTTGTGGCCTAGCCTGTTGGCAGGGGTGAAACTCATGTCGGGAATTCATAACTGCTGGGAGTGACGTCAGGAAACAATTGTTCTGTACTGAGCTGCCTGGGTTGCAGTGTTCCATTGTATACAGTGGGATGTGCAATGCATCTGAGACAGAGCACTGCACTCTGCTACTGGGTGCTCTCTGAAGCACGGAGTGGCTAGTCTAATGCCATTTTGTGTTCCTTAAGGAGACCAAAGAAGTTGGATAATCACTGGCAGCAATTGAGGGGGAGGGTGGGGGGCAGGGGAAGACTTTTACTTCCTCTTCCACTCCCTGTGGCTTGTCCATTTTGGAGACATGAGTTAATAAGCATTAACACGTTTACAAGCATATTGAAAAGAGCAGTAAGTGGAGAGGAAGAGGCGAAGGATAGAGGAGAGGTGAGTGGAAGAAAAGAAGAGCAAGGGATAGGGGAGGACAGATAGAAAAGGGAATAATATGAGGTAGAAAAAGATATATGGTGAGATTTCCAAAAGCTCTCCGCATTGAGTTAGGGCTGTGCAGAGTCCTCTTGGAAAACTGACACACGCAATTTCTTAAAGGTTCTAAGCCACCAAAAAAATTGACAGACCAAAAAAACCGCTGAAACTTCCTATTTTATCTTCTTCTGTAAGGCCCCGTCTAAGCCCACTTTCAACCATAGCATGGATGAGGCTGAAAAAACTCTAAATGGGATGTGTGGGGTTGGTTTTTTTTTTTTTTTGAGTTCTCTCTTAAACCTTTTAAAATTTAAATTGTGTGGGAGGCAATCATGGCTTTTGGGTAGTATTCAGCCACGACCAGCTACGCCCCATATTTTAACATTTAAATGGGTGGAGGGTCCAAAACTGCAATTTCAGGAGGCCGGACGATATTAATGAGGTCTGATTCTCCTTGCAATTGACACATGCTATCATTAGTGACAGCCTTTGGGCATGCCATGCTGCCACTTGATGAGATGGATGGGTCTGGAATGGCTGTGGGCCAGATTCTGATCCCACCCTCTAATGATTGACCTCAGTTGATCAAGTGTTGGGCGTCTCCTGTGATGCTTGTGAATGTGTCCTCAGGCCTGCTTGGAATGTCATGCATCATGTCAGGATTCCATTGCCAGTTCTGCTCCTGACCCCACCCAAGGGCTGTTGTGTCAGGCCTTGGTTACACTCAGGACTTCACAGTGCTGCCGTGGCAGCGCTGTGAAGCGCGAGTGTACTCGTGCCGCCAGCACTGCGAGAGAGCTCACGCAGCGCTGTATGTACTCCACCTCTCCGAGGGGAGTAGCTTGCAGCGCTGTGAGCGAGCATGCAGCGCTGCAGGCTCTGATTACACTGGCACTGTACAGCTCTGCACTCACTGTGCGTCGGGGGGGGGGAGGGGGGAGGGCTTTTCACACCCCTGAGCACAGCAAGTTGCAGCGGTGTACAGTGCCAGTATAGCCAAGGCCTCAGAGGAATTGAAGGCGGCCAGCCAGTTTTCCCAGCTGATTCCAAACCTGCATGGAAGATGTTGTTGCAGCCAGGTGCCCCAGCACCCTGCTAGCAAGGGAGGGAAGGGAGCTGAGAATGGAAGGGGGCCAGGGTGTATGGCTAGGCAGAAAGGGGACAGAGCAGGCAGGGGTATGTTTGATGGATAAACTAGTCCCTTGTATAACATGTTGAATTGTGCACACACAGCCTGGCCAGAAGGGCCTATGAGCGCCTGGCCTTACCCTCTGATTTTTCTCTGGACACGGTGACATGTCTCAAGAGAACCGCTCTTTTGCTGTCAGAAATGTCATAGGATTGGCAGGACGGTAGAAAACGAAGGGTGTGGCAGATGCCTGATGGGGAGGTGGCATGATCTTTACAGTAGAATCTCTCTAAAAAGAAATATCAAGCCTGCAGGTGTCCAATCCTTGTCACAGAGCTCCATGAACTCTCACCTGTACTGCAGTATATGGCGGTCTGGTCAGGGTTCAGGGGTGCAATCCAGACCAGTGAGGGGTTATCACCATTTAGCCTGTAACACTGGGTGCCTCACAATGTTTTGCTGCTGTAGCTCCCAGCCTGGGTCACTCACAACCAGCCTGCCACCATGTAGGTCACACCTTGAGTGTCTCTGTGCTTAGATGGCCCTGGTTCAGCAGCTCTGACCCCAGCAGCCAGTCTACAGCCCCATTCTGGTTTTCACCAGCCTTGGTTACAACCAGCAAGATGACCCCAACACACCCCCAATCCCAAATTTCCCCAAAATCGTGTGCTCTGCAATGTTCAGACCTCTCCTGGATAATATGGTTCGTTTGTTCCTCTAAAGACAAACGTATCACAACTTATTAACTTAACTTGGGGGTAAGTACACCCTTCTGTTCAAACACAGCACAGAGCTGGTTTATGGTAAGAATAAAATCTATTTATTAACAATAGGACATAAGTGATGCCAAGTAAAAAGAATAAAGCTAGAAAAGGTTACAAGTAAAACAAAAGTGAAAACACACATCTAAAAGTCTAAACTTAATCTAGCAAGATACCGGCTTTGTTCAAGATGGTTTCTCTCACTGGTCATTCTTTTTCCTAGTCATGGCTGACCTTCCCTCAGGATCTTCCACAAAAGTACAAGGTTCTGGCTTTCCTCGTCATCTTAGGTGAAAGATCTTTGCATAAGCAAGTTTCTGTCCTGCATTCGGTTCTAGAGACTTCAACCCCTCTTTGGTTGAAGGACCCATCTTTCTCAGCTTGCAAGGGCTCTGTTCCGTTGTGCCTGTCTAGCCGTGGATGCCAAAGATGGCTTCAAGTCTTTACTTATATCTTCCAAAGTTCCAATGACTTTTTGTTTTAAGGGGCAGGATGACCTCCTGCTATTTTTCCTTCCTGTGATCTTCCCACCCCCTGGCTAGTTTCTATGTAAATAGGGCTTCAATTGGTTTTTAGTCACACCTTGTTTAATCTCTTTGGAGACACATAGATAGCTGTGACATTCCCTCCTGTGTGGGCAGACTGTACAGCCTGATATCAATAAAAAGAACAGGAGTACTTGTGGCACCTTAGAGACTAACAAATTTATTAGAGCATAAGCTTTCGTGGACTACAGCCCACTTCTTCAGATGCATACAGAGTGGAATAAATATTGAGGAGATATATATACACACATACAGAGAGCATAAACAGGTGGGAGTTGTCTTACCAACTCTGAGAGGCCAATTAAGTAAGAGGAAAAAAAACTTTTGAAGTGATAATCAAGATAGCCCAGTACAGACAGTTTGATTAAGAAGTGTGAGAATACTTACAAGAGGAGACAGATTCAATGTTTGTAATGGCTCAGCCATTCCCAGTCCTTATTCAATCCTGAGTTGATTGTGTCTAGTTTGCATATCAATTCCAGCTCAGCAGTCTCTTGTTGGAGTCTGTTTTTGAAGTTTTTCTGTTGTAATATAGCCACCCGCAGGTCTGTCACTGAATGACCAGACAGGTTAAAGTGTTCTCCTACTGGTTTTTGAGTATTATGATTCCTGATGTCAGATTTGTGTCCATTAATTCTTTTGCGGAGAGACTGTCCAGTTTGGCCAGTGTACGTGGCAGAGGGGCATTGCTGGTACATGATGGCATATATCACATTGG